AGAAATACCCTCCAAAGTGCTAATTATGAATGGAAGCAAGGAAATAATTCAATCGGTGACTTATGAACATCTGCCCTCTTACTGTGTAAAATGTAACCGACTTGGCCACTCCAAATTAGAGTGTGGGTCCTCTAAGCCAAGGAAGGAGATTCTACAGCCTCAACAAAAAGAAAAACACACCCCACAGATTATTAACAAAGCTCCGGAAGAATGGGTACAAGTATCAAGGAAACTTAAGGGGAAAGCCAAAATTGTGGAGAAGGTTACACAAGAGGTGCCTGAGTCTTCTAAGGTAAACGAAATTGAAGTCCAATCTTCGGTTCAGGAGGAACAGGGGTTGGAAGAAGGTGAAATGGTGGGGGAACAAGAAGCGCCAATTCTGACTACATCAGGGGAGTTAATGGGGGGACAGTTTCCTGCGGTAGAGGAGGTGGTGAATAATGATTTGGAAGCGGTGAATAATGAACTGGTCGAGATGGATACTACTAAATTAATAACAATGGAGGAAGACTCGGTAGTGAATAAAGAATTGGAATTGCTAGGAGATGCGGTGGACTCTTCTAAATTAATAGCATTGGAGGAAGGCACGGTAGTGGTGGAGGCAGACCATATCATAGTTGAGCAGGAAGGTTTTGATTCAGAGGGCGAACAGGTTTGTGTAGAGGACTTGACAAAAGAAGCTTGGAAAGAAGTTTGTGGGGAATTGAAGCACAAAGTAGAGCTGGTTCTTGACAAAAAAGCTGAGGTTCTAGGTGGGGCTCCTAGAAAGAAAATCAAAGAAACATACCCTCCTTCTTCAGTCACTACACGGTTAGCGGCTAAGAGGAACACTAAGGATCCCTCCCGAAGTGTTTCCTCATGAAGCTACTCACATGGAATTTGCGTGGCCTTGCTTCGTCGTGCCCGAGGCTACGTGAGATTGTTAGACGCTATTCCATTAATTTGGTTTCCATTATTGAGCCAATTGTTGGCCCGGATAAGGGAGATAATTTTTTACATTTTTTGGGTTTTTCGAACATTTTCATGTCAGCTTCTAATAAGATTTGGATTATGTGGAATGCCGAGGTTTTCGATGTGGTTTCTATAGAGGACAAAGACCAATTTTTAATGATCAAAGTGAATTTTATTCCATTGTATTTTTCCTTTGTGCTTACACCAGTTTATGGGCAACATACAAGGGTAGAGAGACCCAGACTCTGGGAGGGGCTTGTTAACTATGCACAAACAGTTTCAACGGCCTGGATTCTAGGAGGTGATTTCAATATTGTGGCTTCCCTTTCTGAATATAAGGGTCCAGCAAGTCCTTTACTGCCGGATATGCAAGATTTCAGGGAGTGCATTGATGAGTGTGGTTTGGAGCAAATTAAAACTATCGGATCTAGCTATACGTGGACAGGGGTAAGGTCTAATGGTCGTATCTGGGAACGTTTGGATCGCTATTTGGCTAATCAAGACTTCATTTCGAAATTTGAAGCCATTAGCATTCAACACTTGAGCAAAACACCATCGGATCATTGCCCCATTCTACTTCTATGAGAGGCATCTACGCAGAGGGGTCCATCTCAATTCAGGTTTCAGAACATGTGGTTTACACATGAGGGTTTTATTCCTTTTGTGAAGACTAAATGGGCCGAATACCCTACGGTAGGAGGAATGAGGGGTTTATGGACTAAGCTTCGAGCTTTTAAGGAAGATGTGAGGAAATGGAACAAAGAAGTCTTTGGGGACATTTTTGGGGAGACTAAGAAGCTGGAGAAGGAATCCATTCAAGCTGAAAAAGATTTTGAGGAGAATCCTAACTCTACTACGAGAGCCGTATGCCACCGCAAGCAGGCTGAGCTCCTTAAACGAGTGAAGCAACAAGACATTTTTTTGGAAGCAAAAGGCCTGTGTTAAATGGCTCAAAGATGGGGATGCCAATACCAGCTTTTTTCATGCGACAGTACAGGAGAAAAAGAGAAGACTGAACATTCAAGCTATTAAAAAAAATAATGGGGAATGGTGTTATGATCCCAAAGAAATAGGGGAAGAAGCACTCTCTTTTTTTGAAAACCTTTATCAGTTCGAGCCTACCTCCAACCATGAAGAGTTGCTGCAACATATTCCTGCAATTTTAAACAGAGCAGAAAACAAGAGTCTGGAGGAAATGCCTGCAGAAAAAGAGATTAGAGAGGCCATTTGGAGTCTTAGTTCTGAAGCTTCACCTGGGCCAGACGGGTTTGGAGGAAAATTTTATAAAGAATGCTGGGAGATTATTAAAAGCGATGTTATTATGGCAGTCCAAGAATTCTTTTGGGTATTCCATTTCCTAAAGGAGTAGCTAGTGTTAATATGGTCCTAATTCCAAAAAAGAAACACCCTGTTTCGTTTGGGGATTTTCGACCAATTTGCCTATCTACTTTTTTAGCAAGATTACTACTCGTATTCTGGCCACTCGGATATCTATCATTCTGCCAAAAATAATATCTAATGAGCAGTCGGGGTTTATGAAGGGAAGGACAATTCAGAGTCAAGTTCTAGTGGCTATGGAGGTTCTTCATCATCTGGACAAAAAAGTGAGGGCTTCTAATATGGTTCTGAAGCTAGACATGGCGAAGGCTTTTGATAGAGTAGCTTGGAGCTCTTTAGATGCCATTTTTGAGAAATTTGGCTTTTCATCCTCTATTAGAAACCTGGTTATGGGTAATCTCAAGGCAACTTATATTTCTATTTTAATCAACGGAATACCCTATGGCAATTTTCAACCGCATAGGGGTGTGAAGCAACGAGACCCGCTCTCCCCACTTCTTTTCATTATTATGGCTGAGGCTTTCACAAGAAGAATTAATCATTTGATCAATGTTAGAGCTATAGAGCCTTTCAATATGGGCAGAGGAGCTCTCATATCCCATTTAGCTTTTGCGGATGATGTGATAGTTTTCCTAAATGGGTCTGCTAAATCTATATGGAATTTTAATAATTTCCTTAGTCTCTACCAAAAAGCTACTGGGCAGATGATTAATAAAGACAAAAGCTGTTTCGTGATGGGAAAACATGCAAATGCAGGGAGGATTTCTCATATTCAACATGAATTAGGCATGAAGGTCTCTAAATTGCCTTTTAAATATTTGGGGGTGCAAATTCATAAAGGAGTTACTAGACTGGCACACTGTAGAGAGCTGTTAGAAGTTTTTGACAAAAAACTTTCTAAATGGAGATAGAATTCACTATCTCAGGGGGGAGATTGGTGCTCATTCGACATGTGCTGAACTCTATACCCATTCATGTGATTGCTACTACTAATTTGCCGGCTTCTGTCAAGAATATGATAAGCCGCAAGGTGGCAAAATTTTTCTGGGGATTTAAAAATAACAAGCCTAAATATCACTGGGCTAGTATGAAAAATTGTGCAGACCTATTGAAGTAGGGGGATTGGTATTAGGTCTGTGGAGGATATGCACAAAATTATGGCTTTGAAACTCTGGTGGGATTTTCAAAAAGGGGAGTCGATTTGGACTCAAATCATGAGGGGAAAGTATGGTCATCGCAGCCTAGGAGATAATAAGCCCACAGATTCTCCTATATGGAAAAGGATATGCCAGGTACATGACCAGGCAGAACAGCTTGTGGAGAGGGGGCCTATCACCCTTAAATGGAAACATACACCAGATGGAGTTTTCACATCTAAATCAGCCTATTTGGCACTTTGGCCGGGGAGAGGTAGTCCTTTATCTACTACAAACATTTGGCACACGAGACAGGTATCAAAGGTTAGAGTGTTCTTATGGAGGATGTGGCATGATTGTCTCCATTTTCCGAGCCAACTGGCTAGGTTTTCTGCAGTCTTCCCATCCATTTGTCCCTTCTGCAAAGGCGCCTCTGCTGACCAGGATCACATTCTTTTCACATGCCCGTATGCTAAAAGCATTTGGAATTTTTTTGAAAGCATCCTGTTACAGGGGAGAAGCCAAGCCAACCAAATTAAACAGCAACTTAACAGATGGTGGAGTACGGTGAAAGGAAAAACGCTGGATACCATATACAAGGCGGTGCTACCAGGGGTTATTACTTGGCATCTATGGAAGGTGTATTGGGATGTAGTATGGACGGGTTCTTTTCCAGATCGTGATGGGCTTATTAATCGAATTTGCAAATACATGATATCTTGGTCCTTAGCTCAAGAAAATCTTAAAGGAGGGGATTCATTGAAGAAAGGAGGACTGTTACCTGCTAACTTTAGGAGAAGAAGACCTCAGGTGAGCAGATGGCACCGGCCGAGGAGAGGATATCTGAAACTTAATTGGGCGGTCTATCACCAATCCGAAAGGTCTGCTGCAGGTTTTCTACTGAGAGATCACGATGGAGCTGCGGTGGCGGCGAAGGGGTTTCTGATGAGTGGCTCTTCGCAGCAGGAGGAGAAGACTCTTGAGCTGGCGTTGAACTGGGTTAAATTGCTTCACTTTCCTCACCTGGAAGTGGAAGTTGCCTATTTGAAGCTGATTGAGCATGGTGAGGCGGTGGCGGGCCATTTCAACCTGGACCTGAATTGGAAAATTTCTCCGCCCCAAACAAATAGAGCTGCAAAATGGGTGGCAAAACAGGGCTTCCAGAATTCCTTCGATTGGGCTGAAGGGGCGCACATGGATAACAGGATACATGGAATAGTTACTCTTGATGCTTTGTCTGTTCCTTATATTAGCCAATGTGGGTTCAGACTTTTTTTCTTCTTGTGGCAAGGCTAGGTCCTTGCTGAGGTTGTCCCCTCATTTTGTGTATTCTTTCTGATTTTTTAAATAAAATCCGGTAGATGTTCCCCGACATCTACCCCACTGATTTTGGTGGTTGGCCTTCCGGGTTAAATATATATATATATATATATATATATATATATATATATATATATATATATATATATATAAATAATTGAGTCTACGATAAGTAACAAAAACTCTGATACCATGATAATTTGTGTTAGTCAAACATCACAAATTTGAAATATAAATACAATGTATAAGGTACCTCCCAGAAGAATTATATCCGGAATATACAACTAAGCTAACTCTAGCCCATTCTCGGTCTAGGGTTCAAAGCCATGACTAAATCCAAAAATGAAAACCTAGGTATTCTTGGAACTCATTGGACGGAAAATAGAGAAGAATGAAGAGAGGAGACGAGGCCTAACATGTTTGGAAAGAAGAGCTTGGTGCAGAGAATCAAACACGAACATGCCTCCTCTAGAAAACTTAAAAACCAACATGCAATAGCGGGAGAGGAAATAAACCGATGCCACACGTGGAAGCTTGCTGGTGGACTGCGAGGCTGACATTAAGTGACTCAGATCAATACTGCATTGACATCGCCGCCACACATGTGCATTGATATTGACATGCCATCAAGTCAGTTTCTTAAATATCAAATGTCAATATTAGTGATGGGATGGATATTTAATAGCCGCTGTTCCCACACAATTCAGATTTCAACTACCACATACTTTAAGTCTAGCATCAATTATTCTGGCAACATTATGAATTCTCTAAGTGTTGTGACACAGTTGAGGGCAACTCCTCGTCACCCAGGTTCAACTCTAATCCCTTTTTCCTCTAATTTTACATTACAAGCTCAAAAGGATTGTGGGACTAGTATGTAGAGGACATGGAAGCATTTATGATGTTCGAGATGAATCGCACTTCGGCTCGAAAATCATGAATTCAACAAAATAAAAGAATCACCATCTCAAAAAATCACCATCTCGAGCTCTGCAATAGAGCAACACATAAACATATCAATAGCTTCGGCCACCCGTGGCTCGACTGAATAATATCCTAACTCAAATTTGGGAATTAAAGACATCAACCGCAACGCCATCCCGAGCCGCAAGCTTCGGCCCTAGCCTCAAAAGGAACAAATTAGCAACATGATCTCTACCAAAGGATACTGCACCAGCTTATAATCTCACACCTCAGCTCGGAAAGGGGTTACACTTGGTTCTATACCTGCTTCAGATGGTGTATCCTTTTATCCGGCAGAATTTTTCCCACAAGTTTTTTCCTAAAGAAGTTTTTAATGAGGCATCATTCCGTCGTGGGCAAGGGCTAAGGCATTCTCCAACCTGCATGGAGTACGATACTCAGAGGACTCAGTCAGATGTAGAGTGGAAGAGCCCAGACTATTCCCTATCACCTCAAAGATTTTTTGCCTCAGGGAGTGTAAGACTCACAATGGAGTATATTGCCATTGTTGGTAGAAAATAAGGTGAGTAGAGAATCCAGTAGCAATTCGATATAGTACAAAAGTAACCTCCTAATACAAGGAATGGACGGCCTATTTATAGGCGCTCACAATAGGCTTGAGCCTTAAGGCTAATGGGCCTGGCCCAGTTAAACAACTAACTCTTCCCCGTTGGGCCAGCTGGCCCAACAGTTAAATAATGAATAATCTGAAGATCCATCTTCTTTGGTGGGGCCGTGTTTTGGGCTTGGTTAGGCCCAAACCCAGATATAGTGGGCCAATAGTATTGGAACCGACCCATTATCCCAACACGAGTCCCCCACTCCCTTAGTCGAGTAGTAGAGTCGACTAAAGGGGAGTAGTTGAGCTGCTCTGAAGCCGGTCCGGCTATCAGGTTGGTTGGCTAGTTGCACATTTGTGTACAGCCCCACTGCTTGTAAAAATGAGATTTGTCTTGTCTGGATAACAGTTCGGGGCCTTGACTGTTCGATTAGTAACTCGGGGTTATCATCATTCTGGATGGGGAGACATCTTTTCGTGTTCTCCATGAAGGGGTGCCTCTGAACAAAAACTAGGAAGGTTATTCTCCCCGGACCTAGTGTAAACGGCCTAGGTCAGCTCCATTCCAATTTAATCCCTAAATAGCCCGAAGCTATTCCCAATTAATAATTCTCATTATTATTATTTATTATATTTTTTCTTAAATCTCAAACAGGCCGCACCCCAAACCTAACTTACTGCCGCACGCATAAACACCCTTATTCGTCCACGTTTCAGCCATGCACTACTCATACCAACAAGATGCATCTCCTTTTAAGGGAGCTCATCACCAAGAAATTCAAAGTTAAGCGTGCTTGGACGGGAGTACTTTTAGGATGGGTGACCCCCCTGGGAAGTTTCTCAGTGCGCGCACGAGTGAGGACAAAGTGCGCGAGAAAGTCTAGTGGCGGTTTGTGAGGACAGTACTAGAAGTCAGAAGTAACTACCTCTGGCCTACGGGGCCGGGGTGTTACAGGTTCACATTCCATCCATGGCACGGGGCATGCAAGTGCCGTTATGTCATTTTCTGGTGAAACTCCTTACTCATATCGGGATATCGGCAAGCTAGATGACCCCATCTGCGTACATGTTCACGGCCCCTTTCGTTGCTCGCTGTAAGAAGGTTGCTATTCGGCCATCCATACTCCTGTTTCGCGCTTGTTTTAGGTGGAGTCATCCTGGCAATAAAACAAAGGATAGCAGGTTTGTGTCACTTTGTCAATCATCACGTCGTAAGCTCTTTGACCAGTACCCATATACAATCAGGAAGTGGCAGAATAAGTGGGTGTGGGCGTCTGCTCCCATCTAGTCCCCGGTCACGTTCGCTTGGGGTGTATTGGTGCGTGAGTATAAACCCGTTTCTCCCACCCCGAATCTTGAGGAGGAGATCGAAACCTTGCTTCAAAGGGCCCCTTTCACGATTTACTCGTATATAGGTAATTTCTCCCTCCGAACAGGTCTCGTATATTACATATTATTGTTCCTTACTTTGTTAATTTACTGCAGATTCAACCGGAAACCGGGATGAGGTCGCTGCCCCGACGGCGCCACTAGAGACCACACTTCCATCTTCAGCGCCTAGCGCAAATACGGGTCCGCTCGAATTTAGGGAGAAGCGCCGGGCTTCCCCTCCTCGTCACGAGCAGGCCGCCAAGAACAACAAAGGTGCGAACTTCTTTACAATTTAAATAAGAGAGGACAACTTGGTTAGGATGATCTTATCTCACCCCCGTTTGTTTTCTTGCAGGTATGTCGGGTGGGACTCCCTTAGTTTTGGTGCAGAACGTTGCATTCTAGCCCTCAGTGCCTGGTGCGAATGAGTCTGACCGATGCCAACATGTTCGAGGAGATCAACGTCGGGAAGAGACATGGCGCTGCCCCGCCTCACGAGAATCCAGTTGTGAAGAAGAAGAAAGGTGTGAATCCTCCTCTCAAGCCGGGAACAAAGGATAATACAACCCGTACAAGTCCAATTAACCTCGGTTTTCCCTCTTTTTTTTACAGAGGTCGCAGATATGCGGGGCACTCTTGCTTCCTTGGCCGATGAGGAAGATGCCAAGTCTCGGCCCTCGAAATCCAAGGCAATCCCATTCATTGCGAGGAGGCAACATAGAGCTCCTTCCATTGATTATCCGGAACCCACTACTAGCATTCCATCGATCTCGGATGTGGAATGGGCATTAGGCATAGTTCCATCTTTGATTTCAAGGATTATCTGATATCTTCCAATCTCTATAACTTGGTGGCGCGCTCTATCGAATCCCACACCGCGGTAGATCATATTACTCTTGCCTCTTGAATGTTGTCTTACTTTTTATCACTAACCCCACGTTTCCTGTAGGGGCTAATGGATATCATTACTGCATTTCAAGCGATGGATCCCCAGCGCGAGGGGCTCCTACACCGAGTTGGCAAGGCTCAGCGTCAGTCGGTTCAGGCTCAGCGTCAGGCAGACGAAGCAGAGGCTACCCTGTACGTGCTTCAATTGAAGTATGGCCTACTACAGTCAAAGTATGATCAACTAGAGGCACTGTCTACGGATGTGGGACGTCAGGCAGTCGCGGCATTCCAAGCTTCCCCGGAGTTCTTAGAGATTATCACTTCTAGAATTGAAGGTCACCGTTCGGAACATGTTCAAGCACGACTGGAAACTCAGGAGGGTCGGCTTTGGCGGGCTAAAGAAGTTCTCATGTCTTTCAAGTGTGGCCGATATGACATGCAGAAGACACTGTATGATATGCTGACAGAACTTTACTCCGACTTCCATCCTGCAAAGTTCGGTTTGCCAGAGATCATGCCGGATCCTGACGAGGAGGAGGAGAATCATGCTAATGACTTGTCCCTTCAGCACCTGGGTATCCCTGATGACCTGGAGGGTGCCGTTCATGGCTTTGATTTCGAGAATATCCTAAATGGTGTTCCCGAGAACATGCCTGATCCTTAGGTCGTAGATATGGATCTCTTATCTTATCGTCTTTTGTTCTCGTTTTGCTCAAAACTCTACTTTACATTCCAGACTTATATTTTTTATTCTCACATTTAGTCATAAGTTTTTCTCTTTACGTAACCCTGTATCCGTGCCCTGGTTCATCTTTTCCATTCACTTAATTATTTTTCATTCGAGACCACTTGGGTAACTAATCGGGGATCTGGCTCCCCACCTAAGCCACGAGAGGCGGAAGGTCGGTTGGGCCAACCTTGACCGCTCCCTGCTTGGTAAGGTAAGGCTAACCCGCACACCATCGGTCTAGGACCGACTAGTGAGCAATCCATTTGGCCCGTGGTCATATGACGGATGTGAGAGAAGGGCTCGGAGCATGACTCCCTGCATACCTTTGGCCCGGAGGCCGGTCCTACACCTTGACTTGTACAACTAGTTTCATACTTAGGAAAAATCTAATTTTCTTTTCTGAAAGTCGAACTGAAGTCAGCCAAACGTAAGGGCAAGGCCCTCAAGGTCAGACTAGAATGGACCCGCACCATTGACCATAGTAAACGAGTACACAGGTTGTTAAACCTAGCAACGTCAGACAATGGATTTGCGAGAGGGGCTCAGAGCATGACCTCTTGCATACCTTCGGCCCGGAGGTGTGACACCCCCAAATTTCCAACCCAAATAATACTTTGAAATAGAAAACAACTTTTTATTTATTAATTAAACATTCAAGAGTTTGCAGCGGAATTTAGTAAAATAAAGGAAAAGGGGTATGTCACCGCCACATCCAATCCGTGAGTGATTGGATGCTGAGGCTATTTACCAAAATATGAGTTTAACAAATATTAAGATGTTCGAATCATAAGCAAATATTAAAGTTTATTCTAGTGAACTACATAGCAGTCTTCTAATTCGCGCTCTCAAACATTCCAGCATCAAAATTATCATGATCACCTCCTGTTAAATACGAGCACAAAAAAAAACACACGTTAGCAATAATGCTAAGTAAGCCTCACCTAACCTTTTAAAATAATAATAATAGTATATATATAAATTCGTACAACCGTTAGTATAAAAATATTTTCAAAACATTTTATAAATCATAAGTAAACAATATCTATACAAAATCCCAATCACATAACTCGTGAACCATGATGATCCCAAAATACATGAAACACCAAAATTTCTCCTCTATTGAATTTCTCCAGAAATCACTTTGTACTAACTTCCTAGTAATTTAGAAGGGCGGTGCTCAATACTTTGGTTGAGCCCAGTGGTCCGTTGTTATGTACGGCCACCTCGGGACTATCACCGGTACCACAACTGCTCAATGGAAACGGAAACAACTACTTTAAGTGTGCACACCCCCTAGAGGTATTCCAAGCCCTCCGGGTTAGTAAGTCGATCCGGGTAGCCGGGATATTTTCTACCAACTACCCCATCTCAAAACCTGAATGATTAGGAGCTACTACTACCACTACTACTCAAAAGTCGGGATGTTTGCTACCGACGATCAATTCACCTCAAACCAAAACCACCAAAAATTGAGTAGTAGTAGACCTAACCACCCTCCACATTTTAAGGGACGTGGAAAACCAACACCACGGATTTCTCCCGTGATGCTCACCCTTTATGAAAATATTTATTTATTTTCAAAATCAATCGAAGTTTATACTTCAAAAATTCCCTTTGCATCAAACTCCCACAAAGTCAACAAATTATGTACTATTACAAAATCTCCCAAAATCGTATATAATAACTCATATTAACAAACTAATATATCAACTAATATCTCAAATAATACAATCTTTTCATATATTAATATTTAATAAAATTCAGCACACATAAATTCAATTCTCAAACATACACACAAAAATATTCAAAGAAATCACGAAGAAAAAGTACTAATATCGGTTGACGTGAAACTTACCTTAAAGTGTGACACTCCTGACTTGATCTCTTAACTTGATTTATTTAGCAATCACCTTTAATAAACCGAAACTCTATAATTAGTCCTAAACATTACATCCGATCAATTGGTGTAACCTAACTATTGTTACGTTAATCTATTAGGTCTTCCTTTTATTAACCAGTTAGTAATTTATAATAGTCCCAATTTCGTTCTTAATCTTTTTGCAGAAATGGAAGTTTATTAATCACCAATACCTTGATAATCGTGTCATTATCTTAATGTAATTAGTCCAATTTAACTCGAGTAATCCTAGCTAAGTTGATTTAATCCTTATTGGTTACTTCAATAGCCTCCAAAGCAATCCAAAGTTACTCCACATCCACAATCAATCAACTAATCACTAATAGGTATCCCACTTTTATCAAAGCATTAAAGATTATTCCTTCACTTTAATTCGATTTGATTAATGTACTCTTATCATTAATTACAAACATAAATTTTAATTCAAAATTTATTATGACAATGTTGATTTAAGTTCGATTACCCTCTTTTCTTGCAATACCCTAAATTTATATAATTCGGCTTAAATCATTGATTTGCCCTTTTATTACTTTAATTTTGGTTAAATAATTAGCCCAATGTATCCAACTCAAGTAATGTACATCTAGTAATAACTACTTTGCTAATTCCCTTTATATACATCCAGTTGCATTTGTTACGAACAATTTATTTTTATTGGAATGATTAGTTTGTTAATTCCCTTTAGTTTATTTATACAATTATCAGGTAGTTATCTTGATCTATACCTTGTCAAAAAAATCCTCCTAACCAAATTGTTATTATTTTATCTGTTACCACGTACTACTTTCACAAGTACCAATAGTGATACAATTTATCATAAACAACATTATTAAATTTCAGCCGTCCCAGGTGCAAGTTTACTCAAGATTATTATTATTATTATTATTATTATTATTATTATTATTATGGTAAAAAAATGGTCCAATGAGTCTATATTATTTTGAACTCTACCCCAATTGTCTGGCTATGTACGCATGCAAAACGTCTATGTCGTCGTTGAACACCGGGAAATACGCAGGGGGGTTAACTTACCTAGAGCACGACGGAGTTGATACGGCAGCGGCTTCCTTCCTCTGGCGAGCGTACCCAGACGGCACAGCGGCGACGGCGACGTTTATCCTCCTTCACCGTCGAACTGAAATTGTTCTATCTCCAGCGACGGCGAGTCCGGCAGCCTCTTTCCCCAGTGTTGAACGGAGACGATTTACTCACTCTTTTATTCTCTCGTAATTCTCACAGCCTCATGTATGGTGTTTGTATTTTTGATGCTAAGCTCGATCTCTATGGTTATTTGAGCGCAGAACAGAGCACCGGTTGCAGACTATATATACTCGCAGGAGAAGGTTCTAGCCTATTTGTTATTTAATTCAGTTTTTATTTACTTTCCTTTGTTACAGATATACCCGTCATGTAGATTAAGTAAGATTCGAACATTCTCGCTACTTTGTTTATGGTATGCGAATGATTCGGCGTATCAACCGAGCGGATATACGGATGCAATATAATTACTACGCATGCAATATAAAAAATACGTGTGCTGCTGCATATATTATAACTAATACCTCATAGGTAGTACTAATAAGAAAAGTCAACATATAAAAATGTGTCCTGGTGCTCTTTGTACGTATATGTTGTGTTGAAAAGTCACCACCCACTTAATTATTATTCTTGTTTAGGTAAAAGAAATGTAGTGTGCATAGTTTTAATTATTATACTAAAACGTGTCACTTTTATTAGTTCAGTCAATTTTTTTTTTCTAAAATTTATTATAAAAAGTCACTTAACAAAATTATCAATTTTATTTTTTAAAATTTTTGGAGTGTTACAGGAGGCCAGTCATATAGTTGTTGCACCGTCAATTAGATCAAATAAGTGAACGGGCTGTTTAGAAAGCGACGTCAGACGACGGATGTACAAAAGGGGCTCGGGGAATGACCTCTTGCATACCTTTTTGACCCGGAGACCAGTCTAACAGTCGCCCTAACCGAGCAGCTAGTCCTGGAATTGGAAAATGATTCGATCATTGCCTTTCTCGAGGATCTAGCCGTGATCGACTAAAAACTGAGAGCGGGGCGTGACTTTTTTTTTTTGCTTTTTTTAAAGCCCCTGCCCATTCATCCCCAAGTGATGTCAGACCTCAGCCTATTCAATATTGAATAGAGAGCAAAAACGAACTTTTATTAAATCAATGGTATTAAAGCGATGGAAGGATTAACTATTACAGATCAATACTGATAAAACTTAAGTAAATGCTCCACGTTCCATGCACGTTCAATGAGTTTTCCCGTCGTAGTCTTCAATTTGTAAGTTTGTGGTCCAATCACGGCTTCATAGGGGCCTTCCCACTTGATGGAAAGCTACCCCCTTCCGTTGGTTTGCTTGCCTTCCCCCGCCTTAGCACGTAATCTCCTATGCCAAAGCTCCGTGGCACGACCTTACTATCTTGGTACACCTTCACTTGTCTACGGTAATTTTCAGCCCTGACAAATGCCCAGTCTCTTCTTTCTTCTATGGGGTGGAGTTCGGCTCTGAGCCTCTCCTCATTGCTGGCTGGCTCGAACTCCTCTACTCGTCGACTGGGAATCACCGCCTCGAACGGAGCCCTTGCCTCAAAGCCATAGCACAGAGCGAAAAGAGTTTCGCCTGTTGCCTTCCTGGGGGTGGTCCGAAATGTCCACAACATGTTACTTAGCTCTTCAACCCACATTGTCCCAAGAGCTTCCAAAATCTTTTGGAGGCAATCAACAATCGTGCGATTTGTGTTCTCCACTTGTCCGTTCGCTTGGGGATAGCAAACGGACACCCAGCTCGACTCCACGCCCCACTCGGTGTAGAATTGCTTGAACGGTTCGCAATAGAACTACCTCCCATTATCAAAAATAATTTGTAGAGGAACTCCATAACGACAGAAGATATTCTTCCATATAAAATTCTTGCACTGCAGATGTGTTATGCTGGCAAGCGGCTCTGCCTCCGCCCATTTCATGAAGTAATCCACGGCCACGATAAAAAACTTTCTATTTCCGGACCCATTTGGTAAGGGCCAACCAAGTCTATAACCCTCGGGTATCCCTTGGGATAAACCGGAGAAGAGGTCGACGTCCCCGTTCTGGCTCCTCGGCACGCAAACCAGCTCCACTCGCTTGAACAAT